GTATCAATTGGTTGTCATGGTTTGATTAATTAAATTAAATTATTCTTTAAATTTTCATTAATATTAACTTAAGCTGTTGGCAGTCAGTTCTTTTAAAATGTCACCAATTAAATTTAAATTAATAAAATTTTTAAAGGAAATAACTTTCGACCTTTGAAAAACAATGAGCCTATAATTTCAGTGTTAGTCAAAACTCGTAAGCTAATCCGGTTTATCACATATTTGAGTCAGGTTAAGTCATGTTTCAGTTATAAGAAATATTTGACTCTGACTCATTTATAATCTAACTTATTATGAACTAATCCGTGGTTAGTCAGGTTATTACACTTAGTATATTTTTTATTTTATTTTTTAGAGTTCCAAATGTTAATTTATGTGATCATACATTTATGTCATTGATTAAATTCTGTATATACAAGTTATGAATTATGATAATTAGTGTCAATTTGATATTGTTTATCAATATTTTATATAGCAACTTTAATTTTATAAGTTGATTAAGTTCATTATTGTGGATGATGTATTTTTTTTACATTTTATTTGTCCCATTTATTAATATATTTGTAATTCTAAAATATAAGATTATAATTTGTATTTTTTATAAAGTTCAAAAAAAATATTTTTATATATTTTTTTTTAATTTAAGTGAGTCAATCCGTTTAACCCATCAATTCATGGTAGGCTAGGCTGGATTGATTTTTTTTAAACTCACATAAAGGTAAGTCAGGTTGGATTGACTCGCCTATTACCCAATCCATGGTGGGTCAAGCCGAGCCAAGTTACACTTTGACAACTCTATATGACTTGAGTTATCAAGACTGTCTTAAGGGATGTTTACTTTCGCATAATGATATTGTATTTTTGAAGTCATATTCCTAAGAATTATAACGATCCACCATAGTCGTCAGACTGTGTGGAATCACTATTACTAGCAACTGAAACTAAGTTATAGAATGTACAGGATTAATGGAAGAAATATACCATACATATATATAACATGAGTATATAAATAAAATAGTCAAACTAATATAAAAAGGATATATATATATATATATATATATATATAAGTATACGGTCATTCCAAAATAATCTTATGTTCTAATACTAATCAAGCACATCTATCTATACAAAACACATTAGTAGTACCGTCATCAAAAGGTCACAACACCTGCTTGCATCAGCTCCTCGAGCCTAGCCTTGATCTGCTCCCATATAATGTATGATCATTGCAATTCAAATCACCATGGAAACAGAAAGGGTAAGCTAGAGTTCAAAAATATGTACATATAAAAAACAAGTCTATAATATGCAACAACACACAAGATATCATACATGAATGTTAATCACATCCAAAGCAAGCATGTACCTCACCCAATCATGCCCCAAAAGATATCAAGATGCATATGAACACACCTTAACATAAATTGTATGCAAACACATCAATCAAGTCGTCATGCATGCACCTACGGAGATTTCTTAATAATATGAGTAGTCTAAGTGATTTTCACCCTATCGAACCAACCCAATCATTTTTACGCCTAAAGCACCGACTCGATCATAGCAAAATGGGATACAAATCCATCCTTTAGTTTCTCAAGTCCTATCACTTACACTAAGAAAGTCCAGTTCTACAATCAGAAGTAGTACAACTGAGTATAGGTTTACCACAAGGTATACATTACCAAGTTACATATGAAATTCACTCATTAATTATCCTCAAGGAACTATACAACCTTTCCAGGTACTTGGTTAAGGATTGTAACCCTCAATCTTCTACCTTACTCAACCATTAATTAAGAATTTGGAAAAGACTCAACACACCTCAAAACCTAATCTAAGACACACCTTTGGTCACTAAATGAAGAAGAAGAAGCAGAAGAACTTTGGGTTGCTCTAAGGTGGAAGAAAAGATAGAGGAGAAAGTGAGTTTCGAGCTCCGAGTATCCAAAGTCTCCCTTAAAAACTTGAAAAAAGATAAGGAGTGTTTTGTTAGTGAAGTTTTATTTTTTTCGTTTTTCCGTGAGTTTTTAGAATCTCACAATAGTATAATCTAGAATGTTATTTCGAGAAATATAAGAAAAGATGTTTGGTTCATTTTAATATTTCTAGGAATTCAAAATATAAAATAATTTAAATAAAAACAAAAGTAACACAGTTTTAAATAACGTCTAATATTTTCTTGGAAAAATCACTTATCCATCATTCACTATGAAAATAAAATCTCTCATTCATAAGAATATTACTTTCCTATAAATAAAAAATACTGAAAAATATTATTGTAGACCTTCTAATAAACGTGACAATAACAACATCGTGCTTCTCATATCGCCAAGAATAGAGGAAAATATTCCAAAATAAACGACCCCTTAATTATGTTACGGAATTTCGCTTTGAATGCGGATTTTGTTGAATTATATGTTACCATTTGAAAAACTATCGTTTATATTTATGACCTAAATTAAAGGGTACTATAATAAAAATATATTGGAGGACGATTTCCCGATAATGAGAAGTGAACTGTTGAAAGCGAAAATAATAGAGCTCTAAAAACACCACTGACGTGGCTGGCCTTAATTATTGCATCATCATCTCAAACAGTGTGTGAGAATATCCTTATTATCTGTTAGAAATTGGAAAATAAAATTTTAGGATGACTAGCGTTGGAGCACAAAATTAACAAAAATAATAAGAGCGTGAATTTTTATACTAATTCAAAATTTAAAAAACTACCTTTTTAATTAGATTAATACAAACTTAACATGGCATATATTCTTGTGTAATTAAATTATTACAAATGAACATTAATTAGCCAAACTTTATAATGAAATTATTTTTGATATATTATCAGTGTAAGATTTTTATCCTAATAATTAATTAAATAGCATGAATTAATGCATTTTTAATATAAAAAAACTAACAATATATGATCGATTGACATTTAGAATATTAATGCCTTAAATAAAATAAATACTTTAAAGTTAATTAAGGAAGCACATAACTTCATTTTAATGTGCTTTGTCATTGAGATATCTTTTCTTTTGGTAAATTTTTTGAAATAAAGGATTAATTGGTAGCTAAGAGAAGAAAATTGGGATGTATCTGATAAGAATGATCAGAGAAACCTTTCAACAGATAGAGTAAAACAAATTTATATAAATTAAAAAATAATTAAAATTTAAAAGGGATGAGAATGAGTAGATGAGGGATGAGACTAGTGCCACCGGCCACCTTCCTCCACATAACTCCTTCTTCCATAACTATCTAGAATGAGTTATTGGTTTAACCAACGGTTCCATGACTGTGGTTGGTATGCATTCTGAAAATAGTATCTACACTTGAGACCTTTATGGTTAGATATTGATTTAGACCATTTAGTCCATCAAACAATATCTTGCTAACTTGTCATGATAATAGTGTACAATTAATGTGGCACTGAAATTTCTTATTATGAAAATACATTTTGCATCGTGAAATTATAATTGCTTCAAATTAATAAACTAGCTCATTTCATTTTTATATATCCTTAAAACTTTTAAAACGATGTCGCATTTAAGATTTTCAGCATATTAATCTGAAGATGACACGGGTAGCTAGGTTTACAAATTACATTGCCTAGATATTAACGATATTAAGAACAACAAACGAGCATAATTACAGGATCTGTCACTACTACACTTTAATTTTTTTAGTAATATTTTTTTATTTAAATTTGTTAAAATATTACCATATATTATATAATAGAATATTTTATAATATTTTTTTGAAAAATATTATTGTAGATATAATAGCATCTTTAATTCAATAATTTTCTTTTTAATTATTTTTAAAATCAAAGTTTCACATCAAGTAAAAAAAATGTCACATAGATTATTTTGTAACATCTTTTTGAAAAAAGTTACAAAAGATAAGCAACATTTTATTATTTTAATATTATTCTTTTTAATTGTTTCTGAAATCAAAATCTCATATCAAGTAAATGAATAATTCATAAAAAGTACATATAATCATATAATTATACTTAAAATAAATGAACTTTGATATTTGATATATAATTAGTGATGACTAAATTAAGAATATCTTTAATTTTCTCTTAAAATTAATTATTATTTTATAAAATTAACAAAAATTTGAAAACATTAAAATGTTACAAAAAAAACACCATTTTAATAACATTTAAAAAATGTTAATTACCTATAAAAATGTGATTAAAAGTCTTTAACAATATAAATTATACACAATATTTGATAATATGTTACAAAAGAAAATTAAAAACATTTATATATAATTAAATAATATTTTTTAAAATTAATAATATTTATACATAATTAAATAACAAATAATATGTACCATATACTTTAGACTAAGGTTCGTTATGAGGATGAGAGTTAAGAACCCTAATGAGATAATTAATTTCGCTACTCAATATTCACCCCACATTGCATATTAATTAATAATTATTAACTCCTATGGTTAAACTAGGAACCTATTTGTTTTACCAGCATACACACATTCCCTTTATCAGCATGTTACGTGTTTTTTTTAATATAAACAAATAAGCATATTAATAATGAAGATGCAATTAGATGACGCATAAAGATAGTCCTACGTTAAATGCATGTTTGACGAGATATTTAATTTGTGCCTAAATAAAACTTATTATTTATAGCTTTTTTTTTTATTTTTTGTTTTACCAATTTAACATTATTTCCTGCGTTACAAACGTGTCTCCAAAGTCTAAATAAACGTTATTCCACCGTCAGTCCAAATAAACGCTAGTTGAACAATACAAAAATAATTGCATCAACATTAAACTACGAGTCTATGACATGCATTTTAGTGTGAGGCGATGATGCTTGAGATAGATTTTTTTCGTAAGAAAGATACCTGTAATAAATAAATAAACGACATAAAGAGAGTTCACTGTATTCCGTGTCCCTTATATTTATATATATATAAATAGCATAGTGCATAGACATGTATGTAATAGTATTAATATTTTACCTAGGTTTCAGGGTTGAACAAAGATTTTGTTATTTGTTGTTGTGCATTGGAATGGAAGATCATCAGGGGCAGCATGAGGCAAGGCAAGGCCCCGAGAAGAGTGAAGCGGTTCGGTCAAGGTGGACTCCCAAACCGGAACAAATCCTCATCCTCGAATCCATCTTCAACAGTGGCATGGTTAACCCTCCAAAGGACGAAACCGTCAGAATAAGAAAGCTTCTTGAGAAATTTGGCACCGTTGGTGATGCCAATGTCTTCTACTGGTTCCAGAACCGCCGCTCCAGATCTCGCCGCCGCCAGCGACAGATGATGCAGCAAGCTGCTGCTGCTGTCACCACCGTCGTCGACCAGCCTCAGCCTGAGCCTCAGCTCCATGCTCAGGCTCAGGCTCAGGCTCAGGCTCAGGCTCAGGCTCAGGCTCAGGCTCAGGCTCAGGCTGAGGCTGAGGCTCTGATCGGTGGTGCAATTCCACATGATCACACTCAGACTCAGCTCAACCTTGTTGCAACTCAAAGTGCTAGTTCAACCTTGGGGTTTGGTTCTTCTCCTTCTTATGATCTCCTTGGTTCCTCTTCTTCACAAGGCATCGAGGGTTTCTTTTCAGTTTCTTCTCCTCATATGCCTTTCCCTGACATAATTGACCACACTTCACCTGCTTCATCACTCTTGTACCCTCCTCTTGATCCAAATTTGAGCTACCAGCCTGGTAATTGAATTGCATGCTGTTATTATTCACAATTTCTTCTTTTTTTATATATATAAAAGCTTGAAGTATTTAAATTAAAATTGGTTTCGAGTTCAAATTCCGAGTATGTAATTATATTAAATTCTAAAATGAAGAATTTTACTATCTATAATAGTATTGTTTTATTCAATAAGAATTGTCTTCTGAAAAAGATATATATGATTTATAAAAAAAAATTAAAATTGCATACAATTATTTGTCTTTTGTATATTCTTCGGTGTTAATTCACTATGAGAACTTTGCCTCCAGGCATTAACTTTTTTTTTTTTTTTTTTCCCTTCCTGGAGGCTTAAAATGAGTCGTGTGAAATTGAAGTTATAATTGAAGCGATAATTACTTATAAGAATATTTAATGAGTTTTTGTGAGTAAAAGTTCTTATTTTTCGGCTGATTGGGTTATGGGTGGGCTACAGAATAAAGTGACAACCTTTTCCCTGATTTGACAGTTCTGTGTTTGAATTGCATGAAAGTTGTACTTTCCGGAAAAACATGAGGCTACTTTCCGGTTGCAGTTTCTGTTCCTTCCTTTTTATACTCGCACTTCTTTTTCGGGTTTCTTCAGAACTTGTGTACAAAGATTTCCAAACCCTAGATTGTTGTTTTTTTTACCTCATTTTCAAGTTCTTTGTTTGTTTTCCCCCTTTTGGAAATTTGGTTACTTCTTCCCTGTATATGCATCTCTCTTGCCATGTTACTAGTTGAAAGGAATCTACAATGTTCATCGTATTCATAAGAATAACATTATTTTATAATACTTTTTACATTATCATGTTCCGTTACATTATTACTTATTTTATCTTATATTTATCTTTTTTTTTCTGTGTCTATTAATTGTTGAAAACGTTATCAAAGACTATTTCTTATTATAATTCATAATTACTAATAGCGTGGTCAATGGTCATAAAAGAAACTTTCCATGGAAACCATTTATATATATATACTTCATTAATTTTTTATGTCATTTTTGCACTTTATTTTTCAGTAAAAATTAATGAGGAATAATTAGGTTCAAAGCATTTCCTGAAACATTAATAGGATCAGCTAGCTGGGCTTTACAAATGTGAAAATTTAAATATTAAAATGAGTCATACTATATCCTTCTTATTTTATATGACCAAATAAATATGTTTGAGGTTCTAATTTTTGTTTTATTTTTGGGGTAGGATACGGGAGCACTAATATTTCAGGATTCATCACAGTGTTCATCAATGGGATTGCAACTGAACTTCCAAAGGGACCAATAGACTTCAAATCAGTGTTTGGAAATGATGTAATGTTAGTTCATTCCTCTGGAATTCCAGTTCCCATAAATGAATTTGGGTTCTTGATGCAGTCACTGCAGCATGGCGAAAGCTACTTTCTGGTTGGCACATATAGTTCAATTGCTTCTATTCCAAATCATGAGTCTCACAATTATTTCCTTGTTTTTTTTAATTTACCCGATTCTTTAATTTGAGGATCTTTTATCTCTCTGGAAAACCCTTTTTTCAGTTTTTCTTTTTCCGAATTATGATTCATAAATTTTGGTTGATTACAGGTATCAAAGCAAACACAAGTATGAACACATCAGCCTGTAGCAGCAATGGAAGCTTCCTTTTCATGTTTATCAGATTGCCTTTAATTGTCTGCTCCTCTTGTGTTCTTTTAACTTTTAATTACTAATTTCGTATATCTCTCGAATAATAGACATAATCTATTGTGTGATTATAGAAGTCAATATCCATATATGTACCTTAGCAAATATATACTGTACCTTCTTTTCTTGGTTTTAGTACAAACATGCTCTTTTGAAACTCTATACCATCAAGTCGAGTATAACCCGTATTTGGTTTCGCGTATACTATAAGGGAGACTTGCATTTTATACTTGATTTCTCTAGAAGCTAAAAAAAATAAAATGAAATAACATTCACAAAAGATGGAGATGCACGTGATATGCAATAAATACATTTACATCGAAAATTGTTCCGGTATAGAATACATCTGTGAAACCGTCATTCAAATTATAAATACACATAAAAAATAACTTACGTTATCTTAACCCTAAAATTAGGTTATATATTTGTATATTAGTATTTCGAATTCATGGAAAAATATCCAAAAATTTTAGAGTAATTTTTTTCACTTTTTGTCCAAACATTTGCACATATTCCAACTAAGCTCTTCAAAATCATATCCTAACGAGGTTAATTGTTTCGATATAGAAGACATCCTAAATATGTGAAACTGTCATCCAAATTATGAATACATATAAAAAATAACTTACGTTATCTTAACCCTAAAATTAGGTTATATATGTGTATATTTGTATATCAGTATTTTGAATTCATGGGAAAAATATCCAAAAAATTTGGAGTAATTTTTTTCACTTTTTGTCCAAACATTTACACATATGCCAACTAAGCTCACCAAAATCATATCCTAGTGAAGTTAATTGTTCCGATATAGAAGACATCCTAAATAGGTGAAACTGTCATCCAAATTATGAATACACATAAAAAATAACTTACGTTATCTTAACCCTAAAATTAGGTTATATATGTGTATATCAGTATTTCATGGGAAAAATATCCAAAAATTTTGGAGTAATTTTTTCCACCTTTTGTCCAAACATTTGCACATATGTCAATTAAGCTCATCAAAATCATATCCTAGTGAGACTAATTGTTCCAGTATAGAAGACATCCTAAATAGGTAAAATCGTCATTCAAATTATGCATACTCATAAAAAATAACTTACCTTGTCATAACCCTAAAATTAGGTTGTATATGTTTATATTTGTATATAAGTATTTCGAATTCATGGAAAAAATATCCAAAAAATTTGGAGTAATTTTTTCCACCTTTTGTCCAAACATTTGCACATATGCCAAACAAGCTCACCAAAATCATATCCTAGCTTGGCCCATAACTGACTACCATTAGAGCCAAGATCGACGATATCGAATCGGTTTTGAGATCTCGGATCATATTAAATCTGTATCGATCTTGGAGGGTACAGATTCCAAACAAAAATTATTTTTCAAGCAGTTCTTTAGTTTGCATTTAATTGGAATCAACATATAGATGACATGGGACTGCAAGCAATATATATCTTAACAAATCTCGTATATGTCCTCTTATAAGGTTGGAAGAAATTAATAAACGAGAAAGATTTATTGTTTCCCTTATAACTATAACTACAATTTGTTGATATAATGATAAATAATACATCTGTGGAACAAGAAATAATGAAGACCACATGGAATGCTACTTTTGATCCTTAAAAAGATGATAGAAATAGAGACAAGGAAGTGGCGGTGGGGAATTAAGAAACAAAAGTGAGACAGAAGGTTTGAATTAGTACTCGGTTGGAAACATATCTAACTTTCTTTGACTCTTGTTGTCTATCTTTTTCCCATCTATTCCTTTCTCAAGGAGCAAAAGAGGGGAAGGCTGACAATTGTTAACGTTCAAACAGACAGCAACAAAGTCTATGTTCATTGCATGCATTCAATTTAATCTTCGGTTTACGAAATTAATTTCTTTTTCATGAAAACAGCAATCATTAATCCGGTACCTGGCTTAACAATAATTTGATGGCACAAAAGAGGGATTAAGTTTTCAAATCTCCTGCTTAATTAAATGAACTAAGTAATTTTTTTCCTGTAAACAGATAGTATTTCAAAACTAACAATTAAAAACTAATTTATATCTAATGACATAATTTTTTTACTGAACAAACATTAAGTAATAGTTAACTAGTACTGCTTGAATTTTACCGGTAAAATATGTGGATATACAGATTTCCTGTGTACACTTGTTACACTGCATATAAATTATACTGTATGATGAAAATTTTATTGAAAAAATAGAATTTATTTTAATTAACTCTATGTTTCGAAAGAAATTAATGTCTTATTATCGATTGACATATATCGGTTGTGGAAAAGAATATTGTGCAGTCTCGTAATCTCAGTCACATGTTCATCTATCATCATTATCTTTAAAATTATATATTAATGTGTCCTCATTGCAGGCGCAGCTACAAAACCTTGACGATTGCGGCTGAAATGGTCACATCCCAGACTGTTTTTTAAAATCTCGAGGAATTTAATTTATGGAACATTGAAATCAAACTAGAATGGGTGATTTTACTGTCTCTATATATACTTTTTAGGAGGGGAATAATCATCCAACACTACAACATTTTTTATATTAGGCAACGAGTTTTTAGGCAACGCCTAAAAAAATGTTCTCGAAATATAGAATAAGCAACAATTTTGTAAACTGTTGGCATTTTGTTTGACAATAATCATAAAATCGTTCCCAAAAGCACATATAGGCAACAAATTTGTAAACTGTTGGCATTTTATTTGACAACAATCATAAAACCGTTCCCAAAAGCATATATAGGCAACAATTCATCAAAGCGTGCACTATTCTCTTTTCGATATTAATAAAACTATTCTTGCACTACTAAGAAAAATACCTTCACACCCCCTTCCCCACCTCTTCACATACCCTTCCTCATCTCCAAACCCCACACCCTTTCTCTCTTCATCATCGCCCTCTCCACCCCCTCCCTCGCCCTCTTCCGTTGCCTCCACTACTACAAAATTATTATTTTACATCATTATATTTTACAAAATTATTATTTTACATCATCACCCTCTCGACACAACACTTTGGTGGGCACTCTCGCGGGCTCTGGACAGAACACATATGGTCACTAGAGGCACCCCTGGGCGACGCCGACAAGCTCAAGCCCCACATCGCCCTCTCCAACCTCTCCCTCCCCTCCGACTACGCCGTCGCCATGGTCGTCTCGCGCCTCGCCCACGGCCTCTCTGCCAAAACCCTAGCCTCCCGCTATATTTATTTAATATATTTACAAATATGATACTTTTCTGTAATCAAATTTAGTACGTCAAAATAACATTTCAATTTTTTTAGATATGAGATAAATTTCTTTAATTTGAACAAAAACATGTTTATTTATTTAATATGTTTACAACGTTGGTGACATCATTTAATTTGACAATATTGGCAATGATGATTTTAGTAATAATCATAATGGTAATGATATAGTGATGAAGATGCCACTAAAATTACCATTGTCATTACCAATTCACCAGTATTGTTGTTATCAATAACAATGGTAATTATGAAAACGATAATAATAGAGATGATGACAATGTTGATAGTAATTAGAAATGAAAGAAATGAATCCTAGTCTTTAAATTATATATAAAAATTAAGATTAAAATTCAATTATATATATATATAT